CTCAAAGGTATACGTTTCTCACGTCCACCAAAATCCAGATACGGATCCTTTTGGGATGTCAACATAGTGTTCAAATTCCTGGAAGCATGGCCCGACAATGCGGCACTGTCATTTAAACAGTTGTCTGCGAAACTACTCATGATTTTATGTTTATTATCTTGTAAAAAGGTGTCAGATGTAAGAGCCTTGGACTGGCTGGCCCGCACATTCACTCCGGAAGGTGTGTCTTTTGATATTTCTCGGAGAACTAAATCAGCTACTAAGCAGGTCTTCTACCCACGCCTTCCAAACCAACCGAATCTGTGTCCGATACTATGCTTAAAGGAATACGAAGCCCGTACTTTCCCCCTACGACCATCTAACGACGGCCCTTTGTTTATTGCACTAAATAAACCGCACCTACCAGTATCTACACCTACTCTCGCCCGTTGGGCCAGATGGTTACTAGCTTCGGCCGGGATAGATGTTACTATTTTTTCGGCCCACTCGGTCAGAGGAGCTATGGCTTCTAAAGCATCGACAGTTGATTGTCGATTAGAGGACATCCTGAGGGCCGCAGACTGGTCTACAGAATCCACATTCCGGAACTTCTATTTTAAACCTATCCAACATTTCTCGGAAAGAGTCATTGCTCAGCTTTGAAAGAGCATAATAGGAGCCTCCGTGTCTTTAATAAAATTCCTAGATTTTACTATTTACATGACGTAAAGTCATGATTTTATTAAAGACACGGAGGCGAGTATTATTCCCTCCCGCCCTCCCTGGGTGGAGGATTCGGATTTCACTGGGATATCAATCACAGATCAGGTGAGTTCCTACGACCTAATTACCCTAGAGAAAAAGGGTTCACATACGCCACTCAGGTAAGTGGCTTTGTGTTTAGTTGACTTATCTTGCTATATCTTAGGTTATGACATGACTGCGTTTGTACAAGTTGGTTATATATACGTGGGGATGCATGATACATCCAGTTACCAACCAGATATTACCATATTTCTCCTCTCTCTTTTAGCCTGATTTACACTACCAAGGTGGTAAAGTCCTGATGCAAGACGTTACGGCAAAAACTCAAGGACCGGACATTCATCCATCGCCCACTGTTCCTGTTCGGGTCAAGTTTATAGTTCGTTTATGGATCTAGTTTTCGGATCGCAGAAGAAAGAGGAAGAGGCATGGAGTGCTACACCTTATATACTGAAGGGGGTGGATACCTATGTTAGCACTGTCATATGCTAATGTTATTTGTTCTTTTTATCTCTTTTGCATATATCTCTCTTCGCTGCTGAGGGAGAATTAAAGAAAGAGAAGCATAATACTCGCCTCCGTGTCTTTAATAAAATCATGACTTTACGTCATGTAAATAGTAAAATCTAGGAATTTACCTTAAATAATTGTATCTCAATCTCTAAATTGAACTTTAATCACATACAGGAGGCTCTTGCAGGGTCTAGCAAGCTATTAACATAGCAGGGGATAAGAAAATCTTAATTAAACAGAACTTGGAATAAAGAAAGCCTAAATAGGGCTCTCTTTACAGGAAGTGTTTATGGAAGGCTGTGCAAGTCACATGCAAGGAGGTGTGACTAGGTTTCATAAACAAAGGGATTTAACTCCTAAATGGCAGAGGATTGAGCAGTGAGGCTGCAGGGGCATGTTCTATACACCAAAACTGCTTCATTAAGCTAAAGTTGTTCAGGTGACTATAGTGTCCCTTCAAGGATTAAGACTTCTTAAGTTAAAGAAAAACAAAGCAAAACACAACACAAAACATAAACCTTAAAGAAAAAGATAACATAACTAGCTGCCCAATCATGTTTTCTGTTCCCAGTTATTAACTTTTGTTTTAATAATACCTTGAAGTTCACTGCTATTTAGAGGATGACTAATTCATAGCCTGGTATTATTTTTTTTTTTATTTGAATTATTTCCAATGATGAGCTGTTATCAGCAATTTAATTTTATAGAGAATAAAATATACTACATTTGAAAAAAAAAAAAAAAAGATAAGGCCAGGGACTAATGAAAGTATTTAGAAAATTGGGCAGACTAGATGGGCCGAATGGTTCTTATCTGCCGTCACATTCTATGTTTCTATGTTACTATTGTGGCTGGAAAAGGGTGACATTTGAAAATTCTACAGGCTCCTGACAGATAAATGGACAAAAAAAAAAAAAAAAAAAGTAAGAAAGACAGGGTATAGAGATTTGTTAACTGGTGGGAAGTGATGCCCATATTCCAATATATTTGTCTCTGTATATTTTCTGGTTGATCCTAATCTATAATCTGAGCTAGCTGAGCTTCAAGAATTTTGAAGGTTTAGGAGATAAAGTCGTTTTGCTAGGTTTATTGAGCACATAGCTTAGGCAAGAGTTATCTGGGTGAACTTACCTGTTTCTGGAGATTTCATAGAAACTCTGTTTTTTTTTTCTTCCATTTTTGCTGTTCTATCCTGAACTTTGCAATTTCCGTCATTTAAACACAGTTAGTCACAATTTAATACAACAATTTAGAAAACCAAAATTAGGGCTTGTTCAAATGGCCAGCCTAGACATAACAACTACAAATGAAAAAAATAGAATAATGTGTGCAATACCTGTTCTTGAATTAGAATGACAGGTTTAATAAGTGGAGAATATCATGTAATCTGTTATTGGAACTAGAGAATAAGAAATTTGGGAGATAATGTTAATCAGTATTTGACTGAATTAGAAATTAATATTTGAGAGATAATAAATGTAATATCTGTGTCATCAGGTGTTTGAATTAGAGAATAATAATTGGAGATACTTGTGTCACATCAGTTAATTGAATTAGCAAATAATAAGTGAAAATAAGTATCAGTTGATTTAATTAGTGATCCATAATTGAGGGTAATAGGTTAAATTCCAGCTGATTGAATTAGATATTAATACATGGAGATGATTTTTGATATTACTTGATTTAATCAGTGATTAATAAATTGGGGCAGGTTTTAATAAGTTGATTTAATAAGAAATGAATAATTGGGGATATTTTAGTTTTGGTGCATTGAATTGGGGATCATTTATTTAATATTAGTTTATTAAATATGAATGGTCGTTGGGGGATACTATATGTAAAATCAGTTTATTAAACATTAGGAGGGTGATATATTTAATATCAGTTTATTTTTTTTTTTCATGTTTAAATCTTTATTTCACTTTTTCAAATTACAGAGAAAACACAACACTGTGCATCAGTATAACAAATAAAAAAAATAAAAATAAAATAAATGTAAAATCAGTTTATTAAACATTAGGAGGGTGATATATTTAATATCAGTTTATTAAACATTAGGAAGATGATGTATTTATTATCAGTTTAATATCGCATTAGGATTTATCCATCGGAAAGCATTATTCAATGCTTTCCTATGGGGATTCCGGCAACACTGGAAGTCCTTATGCAGTGCGTCTAAGAACACGGAAGTCCCTCTCGTGGCTGTCTAGTAGACAGCCACTAGAGGAGGACTTAACCCTGCAATGTAAATATTGCAGCTTATAATAACGGGAGTTGCCACCCAGACCACTTCAATGAGCTGAAGTGGTCTGGGTGCCTACAGTGTCCCTTTAATATCAGTTTATAAAACATTACTTGAATGGTATATACATATAATATCAGTTTATTAGACATTAATTGGATGGTATATATTTAATATTAATTGGATGGTATATATTTAATATCAGTTTATTAGACATTAATTGGATAGTATATATTTAATATCACTTTATTAGACATTAGTTGAATGATTTATATTTAATATTAGTTTATTAGACATTAATTGGATGGTATATGTTGTGGAAATGAGATATTAACATAATTTTTAGCTAGTAAAATGTCTATTTACTTTATATAGTTTACAATCAGCATTATTCAACTTTCTATGTGATTTACCTAAAATAGCCGCTAGGGAGTTTCCCTTTGACATCGACTAACACCCTCGTTAACAAGATGGCGCTGGAATCTGGGGGAGACCTCCAAGATACCAGTGACATCACACCCGGTAGGAAGAGCACTAAATGAACCACTTAACACCTATCCAATCATTGATGTATTATTCCATGTTATCTCTGACAAAGCATATGATGTAATTGTGCTTTATAAGGGAGATGCCGTCCCCTCAGAATAAAGATTCCTCAAGTTTTTCATTAACCCGAAACCTGTGTCTGGTGTGAATTACTTCAGGGAGCGAGCATGCACTATTGCTTTAATTTGGCCGGGGGCAGATACGCACAATAATCAATTCATTACATTGATTTCCACTTCAGTATATATTTAATATCACTTTATTAGACATTCATTGGATAGTATATATTTAATATCACTTTATTAGACATTAATTGGATGGTATATATTTAATATCACTTTATTAGACATTAATTGGATGGTATATATTTAATATCAGTTTATTAATCATTAATTGGATGGTATATATTTAATATCAGTTTATTAGACATTAATTGGATGGTATATATTTAATATCAGTTTATTAGACATTCATTGGATGGTATATATTTAATATCAGTTTATTAATCATTAATTGGATGGTATATATTTAATATCACTTTATTAGACATTAATTGGATGGTATATATTTAATATCAGTTTATTAGACATTAGTTGAATGATTTATATTTAATATCAGTTCACTGGGTCTATCACACCAGGTCAGCCTGTGGTGAGCTGCTGATGTCAATGTTGCTCCCTCAGGTCAGGGCCTGTTTGTATACTTCTCAGTCCGCCTTACTCCCCACCATCCGGCCTTCCCATTGGCTGGCTCTGAGTGACCCTCCACGGCCATTGGCTGGCTCTGAATGACCCGCCCCGGCCATTGGCTGGCTCTGAATGACCCGCCCCGGCCATTGGCTCGCTCTCAATGAGGAGAGATCGCGCGTTCGCTCGCGCACCTCGCCTAGATGCTTGTTACCATGGCAACCAAGATGACGCGCTCACCTGTCTCGGCCACCGATTGGCTGCCGAATCAGGCCACAGTGTGTCTGGCGCGGCCGGGCCCCGCCCCCCACACCGAGGCTGTCACTATGCTGCTCAGCTGATTGGCAGCTCGTTCACTCGCTGAGCGGCGGCGGAGGAGACAGGGCGGCTGCTCACACTCAGCCTGGACCGGGAACCGCCGCTGCCGGGAGTCACATAGCCGGAGCCCCGCCGTGTCACGGTGAGTGGGTTCCAGTCAGTGACAGCCAGCCAGGCAGGCAGGCAGGCAGGCAGGCAGGGGGGCCTCGGGCACGGCAGGCAGTGTGTCAGACAGCCCCGGGGGGGGCCTCGGGCACGGCAGGCAGTGTGTCAGACAGCCCCGGGGGGGGGAGGCAGGCAGGGAGGGAGGGGGGCACGGCAGGCAGTGTGTCGACAGCCTGGGGAGGCAGGCAGGTGTCAGACAGCCCCGGGGAGGCAGGCAGTGTGTCAGACAGCCCCGGGAGGCAGGCAGTGTGTCAGACAGCCCCGGGGGGGGGGAGGGCAAAGCATCATGGGAGTTGTATTTCTGTAACAGCTGGAGTTCTCCCTTCCCCCTCGGTTAGAGGATCCGGCTCTCTCTGTGTGTGGTTAGAGCAGGGGAAGGCAATGCTCAGCACTCCGGATGTTATGGACTACATCTCCCATAATGCTGGCACAGGATCATGGGAGATGTAGTTCACAACATCTGGAGTGCTGAGCATTGCCTACCCTTGGGTTAAAGGATCCGGCCCAGAGTGTGCGTATACGGTTAGAGGATCCGGCTCTCTCTGTGTGCGTATACTGTTAGAGGATCCGGCTCTCTCTGTGTGCGTATACTGTTAGAGGATCCGGCTCTCTCTGTGTGCGTATACTACGGTTAGAGGATCCGGCTCTCTCTGTGTGTGCGTATGCGGTTAGAGGATCCGGCTCTCTCTGTGTGTGCGTATACGGTTAGAGGATCCGGCTCTCTCTGTGTGTGCGTATACGGTTAGAGGATCCGGCTCTCTCTGTGTGTGCGTATACGGTTAGAGGATCCGGCTCTCTCTGTGTGTGCGTATACGGTTAGAGGATCCGGCTCTCTCTGTGTGTGCGTATACGGTTAGAGGATCCGGCTCTCTCTGTGTGTGCGTATACGGTTAGAGGATCCGGCTCTCTCTGTGTGTGCGTATACGGTTAGAGGATCCGGCTCTCGGTTAGAGGATCCGGCTCTCTCTGTGTGTGCGTATACGGTTAGAGGATCCGGCTCTCTCTGTGTGTGCGTATACGGTTAGAGGATCCGGCTCTCTCTGTGTGTGCGTATACGGTTAGAGGATCCGGCTCTCTCTGTGTGTGCGTATACGGTTAGAGGATCCGGCTCTCTCTGTGTGTGCGTATACGGTTAGAGGATCCGGCTCTCTCTGTGTGTGCGTATACGGTTAGAGGATCCGGCTCTCTCTGTGTGTGCGTATACGGTTAGAGGATCCGGCTCTCTCTGTGTGTGCGTATACGGTTAGAGGATCCGGCTCTCTCTGTGTGTGCGTATACGGTTAGAGGATCCGGCTCTCTCTGTGTGTGCGTATACGGTTAGAGGATCCGGCTCTCTCTGTGTGTGCGTATACGGTTAGAGGATCCGGCTCTCTCTGTGTGTGCGTATACCGTTAGAAGATCCGGCTCTCTCTGTGTGTGCGTATACCGTTAGAAGATCCGACTCTCTGTGTGTGCGTATACCGTTAGAAGATCCGACTCTCTGTGTGTGCGTATACCGTTAGAAGATCCGACTCTCTGTGTGTGCGTATACCGTTAGAAGATCCGACTCTCTCTGTGTGCGTATACCGTTAGAGGATCCGGCTCTCTCTGTATTCCTGTCCCTCCCCAGGAGCCTAAGCCAACCATTACTCATACAGCTGCCTTACTATTGTATTTACAGAAATATTCCGGAGTCTGGTTTCACCTAATTTAAATCCATTTGAGACCAAAATCCTCATTGTTTTATTACATATAATTTTTTATTGGAAAAATGTAAATTGTCAGTAGCTTACAAAGACACAGGAGAGCATATGAAACACAATAAGTTCAGTTTTTCATTTAACGACAAAAAAACCCAGCAAGGTCTTAACCAACATCATGTATAACGCTGTCTGGTAAAAGTTGCTTGTGCATTGAAGAAAGTATGGTGGGTTTGCCCTTCCAAGGTGAAGAGGGGATAGTGAAAGCATAAAGAGAGAGAGAAAAGGTACTGTAGGAATAGTCTAGTCCAGAGTAAAGGAGGTAAATTACCGAATTACAAAACCTCCCCAAATTTCTATCCATCCATAAACTTGAAATCTTTATTCCAAAAATCACAGATGGCGGAGCAGGACAGCAGTCTATCAAATTATATTTTTTCCAACGTTTAAGCTGGCAGCATTTGGGTAGCCCAGTGGAACAGCACATGGGGCGTCATGGGAACTGCGTTGTTACAGAATTATCAAAACGTGTTCATTTTGGGTTTCCTGATTAGTTTAGTTGTTGGACAGTGTTTTGTGAGATTTTTTTTTGTTTGTCAGATATTCATGTATCATGGCTTGAACAGTGTTGACTGTTGTTAAATATTTGGTGTTCATTCTGATTTTATCAAGGTACTTTGTATAACCAGATTAAATTGAATACGGCATCCTTATTTACATAAATATCACCTGTCTTGACTATAGGCTCCGCCCTTCGTTGCTTTATAATTTAGGAGGAAAGCTTGTATAATGTAGTATATTGGGCATTTGCCTTTCAAACTATATAACTTTGGAGTTTGTCTGTTTGACTTCGTATTGCTTCATGGTGTCCCCAATCTACATGGCTGAGTGTCTGCTTGTAAGTAAAATCAGCAGGTAACTTTTATTTTGTCTGCCTGTGTAATAATGTACCCAAGTCCATATACTATTTTCACCTCGGTTGACGGCAAGTTTATTGTAAGTAGTGTATTCAAGTATTTTTAGACACGTTCCGCAAAGTTTCTTTTTGAGCCAGAAAGTGACTTGTTGAATGTTTTTTTTGTAATCCTTTGGAGTTGGAAATTTACATAAACTCTGATTTATCTACAAAGGGATCCATGATCTAATTATATGGGGAGTTTCCCAGTTGCTCTATTTTGACTCCCCATTGTGTTGTAAAAAACGTAACAGCAGGGATGGGGTTACATTGACAAAATATATAAAGACAGTAGATGTTATATACATTGCTTATTGGTATCTGTAAGGACCCAGAAGACATTGCTTGCAATACAGCTTACCAGAAATGGCAGCGGAATGTAAAAATAGTGTGCATTTGCCCACATACAGTTAAATAATATATTTCTAAAACAAAGGTATTTAAACCTGCTATAGCACTTTTCTTTTATCAATCTCTTGGCTATTGATGTAATACAGTGAAATGGTACAACCCCCCCCCCACCCCCAACTGTAGGAATGGGGAGGTAAGTTACATTTCTTAAAGGCATTATATCCGTTCTATCTGCAGTGTGTTATCATAATTAGAGTATACACAAGGGCAAGTGAGATTTTATGGACCAGATTTCACAGTTAAAAACTATGCTCTATTATGGTGGTCATAATCAAAAACAAAACAGTGTGATGGAGTGCCCTGGCTCCCCCTCCTTGTAAGTTGTCAGACTGTTAAGAAAATGGGCGCTCTCCTGGCACTATAAACCTCAAAGTATGTGGTAGTGGTTATGGTGTTTGGAGATGTCTTTTAACACTTGTTTTAACGCTTATCATTGTAAATAAGGATAATTGTGGGGAAAGCTGCTTATGGAATTTTCAGATTTAGCTGATGTGGAATTACGTATCTGGTGGTGCCATGCTTAAAATTTGTGAGTGTGTACACGTTCATATAATTTATGTACTAAGAAAAAATGTGTAGGTTTGTATTTAAAAGACTTGATTAAGTTGCAAAAGTGACCTGTTTGATCTTAACATAAATATGTGCCATGTTTGACAATATCTATCATTACCGTGGACAAACTGAGACACCAGGTGTCTGTCCATCTTCCCGTACTGTGCGAATCCTTGAATAGACCTCTAGGAAAGCCAGTTACATAATCTGTAAATCATTGTTCCCTGAACTTCACGACTTGATGCAGATAAAGGATTTGAGCAGTGCAAAGGTAATAATAATGTGTTTGCTCAAAGGCTTGTGCATTTACATTTATCATTAATGGCATTTAGTCACGGATTACTGGCTGCTAAAACCCTCAGAATAAAAATATCCAACTCATTTACTAAACACCACATTCAAACCTCTCAAAGTTACAAAAATGACACCGATGTACCCCATTTTTGTCAGCTCCTGTTCTAACAACCTAGTTCCAGCTCTTTTGAATTGAATCCACTTCTTTAGGAAATCCTTCCTCCTGGGACTCTCTGCAGTGAAAGGCTAAATAGATCCCTGGAAGAAGACACCTGGACAGAGAGGGGTGCAAAACCATCAGAACATGCATACAATATAAGAGTGATATATGTATTACACGTAACGGCTAGAAAGAAATCTGATCCAATATAGAACCTCTCCATAACAAGTCTAATGTTCTGCCTAGGATCAGTTTAATGGCTTGACAATCCTTTCATATAATTGCTACATGAAGCCTCAGACTGAAATAATTCTATGTGTGTGTGTAATCTAGGATTTTACTGCTGAAGTAAAACGTGCCATTTAGTGACTCATTGCTGGGAGACAGGACATTTGTTTGAGATGAGCGGTGTATCCCAGTAGCCTGAATTGTTAGTTTCCAGCCAGTCAAAACATGGGTGGAATTGAAATGCTCGTTGGTGATCACAAACCCCATCGACAGATTTCAGCGGACAGTAAAACGGAGCAGTGAGCTGTAATGGTAGCAACTGGTACCCGTGGCTATATCGAACTTGTCAGAGCTAATCTGGCCGAGCAGCCGTGATGGCAGGAATATATTTATGACACTATAAACTATTGAGTTGTGTATTGCTCTGCAATGGATTGCATGCGGCTGCAAGGTTTGAATCAGTCACTAATTGGCATCGGTGCCCACAGGTTGGATGCTGAGAGCAGGGAGTTGGAGATTGACTGCATTGCTGTAGGAGCACCCGCTCTGCTAGCATCCTTTAGTTGTAGTCCGTTACAACTCGAGAAACAAAGGCTCTCCCTCCTGGCAATAGAGATAGTGTTACTCCACTACTTTAGGTCAGTTTAGGATATTGGTGTTACAATGCCTTACTGCCCTCTGCCTCTCCCCCCCTTACCTGTATTCCTTTAACTTGCCTGTAATTCAGGTGCCAATCTACTTCCTCTGTCTGACGTCAGTAGGGGCCTTGCTCTCTTCCAGGCTGCCAGTCACATGTGTGGGTGTAGCTAGCCCCCGGCAAACAAGCTGAAACACTGTACATCATGGCTGCTACCACAATGACCACTTCAAATCACTGTAGTGTATATGGTGGTTGGAGTAACCCTTGAATGATGTGAAATTGAAGAATTAATTCAGGAGGGCTAACAAAGCAGTGGAGGCAGGGAGCGGTGCGAAGCCGACCCTAGATAAGAAGTCAAATTGTTCTAAAATGGTTTAATTATTTACAATGTGACGGTGTCTGAACAATCCTGTCACCATAACCACTGCAGTGTGCTTGGAGTCTTCCTTTTAAGGTGTGGTAACCTGGTATTTTCATAAATCAGAACACCACTCAATAGAACAAATTTGCATCTGAGATATTTGGATAGTCCATATAGCAAGACTTGAAATTTCAAGTCCTGTGTCACTAGCCAGACTTTAAAAGTTACTTTCCACTGCTAGGCTCGAGGGTCCATGGCTCATACACCATAGGGGAATTTCTAGTCACCAGGACTACATTTTTAAATTGCCAATGGCTGCATATAGTGTGTAATCTTGTCTGAGCAAGGCTCACCTTCTGTTACTCTATGTCCAGCTGGTTGTTTGTTAACCCTGTTAGTTTTATAAACAGTGAAATATTTATATTCCTATTAAAGGGACACTATAGTCACCTTAACAACTTTAGCTTAATGAAGCAGTTTTGGTGTATAGAACATGCCCCTGCAGCCTCACTGCTCAATAGTCTGCCATTTAGGAGTTAAATCCCTTTGTTTATGAACCCTAGTCACACCTTCCTGCATGTGACCTGCACAGCCTTCCACAAACACTTCCTGTAAAGAGAGCCCTATTTAAGCTTTCTTTATTGCAAGTTCTGTATAATTAACCCCTTAAGGACAGAGCTTCAGTTGTCTTTCACTTAATGACAACAGCATTTTTTGCTGTTTACGTTCAACTGCAATTTGCATTTTACTGATTTATTGCACCGACACACATACCGTTTTTTTAAAGGACAGAAAGAGCTTTAATTTGATGAGATATATACTTATTTATTATAGAAAAAATACAGAAAAATGCCAAAAAATGTAAAATGTTTTTTTTTTTTGTTTGTTTTTTTTTACAGTTTTTGCAATAATAATGTGTGCATGATTAGTGCAGGTTAAGGAAAGTAATTAAAAATAAATTCATTTAGTTGTTCTGATTTACAGAATATATAATGTGTCTGGGATTTTAAGTTTTTTTTGGTAGTTACATGTCACAAAGCACAAGGAGTAAAATACATTTTTAATGTGGAGCGATTTTAGAATTTGGTATGTTTGTCTTGTAAGCTTAATAGTCATAAAAGAAATCAAAATTGCCACACAAAAGTATATATTTATATAAAGTAGACATCACGGGCTATTTACCTAAGGTTGTTTTGACACTTTCTACGTAGCCATTTCACCGCCAACCTCTGCTAAATATTGGAGTAAAATTGTGGGGGTTTTTTGTTTTTGTTTTTGGCACACAAACTTATAACAAAGAAATTCTCATGTGTATTTTGTAAAGTTGTTGTGTGCTATTCCTGTACAAAGTTTTATTTTGTGTTCAGTTACATCTGCTGAGTAAAAGGACACCCCCATTGTATGTCTTTGGCACTATTTCGTGAAGTTACAGTGCCATATAGGTTACCTGTCCTTTTCAGTATTCACAGTAGAATTTTGAGAGATGGATTTAATGAGCCTTTGCTTCCATTTGGGGTATTAGTAGTTTGACTGTTCAAAAAAAACCCACAAAGGCCTACCATTTGTAAAAGTAGACACTCCAGGGTATCTTATAAGGTGCATATTGTGCCTTAACATGCCCCCATTTTTTTTCACCAATATATGCCAAAGTATGTGGTAAAAAATAATTTTGTGCATTTTTTACATACGGATTGCATTTTTGCTGGGCATTTTGTATATTTCATGTGCCACTAAGTTCAAACACCCCAAATTATGCTCAGCTAAGTCTTCTGAGTAAAAAGACACCCCCAATGAATGTCTTTGGCTTTTGAATTTTGACGCCGGGCCTGTGTGCAATTTCCAAGCATCTTTGCAGGTTTTAAATTCAAACTACCCCACAAAGGCCTACCATTTCTTAAAGTAGACACCCCAGGGTATTTCAAAAGGTATATTTTGAACCGTAGCATGGGATCATTTTTCCGCTAGCTTGTACCAAGTGTAGTGGTAATAAGTGTTTTTTTTCTTCCTTTTTGACACACAAAGTGAGTTTGCACAGTATATTTTGCAAACCTTATGTGTGCTACGACTGTATAATACTTCATATGTTGCTCAGCTATGTGGTCTGAGCACAGCAATACCACCGTATGTACCTTTGCCAGGTATATGTGGATGTTGAAGGGGCACATTTGAGACGCAGCCATTCAGTTTTTTTCTAACTTTGAAGTTTTACGCTGTGTCCATGTTCCAATTTGGAGTAGATTAGATGGTTGGTTATTGAAACTTCCCCGCAAACACATACTATTTATTAAAGAATACACCCTGGGGTAATTCAAAAGGCATATTTTGAACCTTGGCGTGGGATCATTATTTCTCTAGTTTGTTCCTGGTGTAGTGGTAATGAGCGTTTTTAAATGTATTATTTTTACTTTTTGAAACGTTTTTTACTTTTACAAACTAGTTTTTAAACTTTTGTTTTGCTTATTATTTTTTTTTAAACTTTCCTAAACTTTCTTAACTTTTTTTTACAGAGTTAACATATTTCTAAGCTTTTTTTTTATTATTTTTTTTTTTTTTTTTCCGTTAACCCCTAACTAGCAGTAAGTAGCACTAACAGTGAATTCCCCATTTTCCCATAACTCCCACCCACCCCAGCTAGCAAAATATATAATTATAAAATATTTAAATTATTTAATTAAATAAATTGAACCCCTGAGGGATAAAAAATAAATAAAAGTTAATCGTCAGGAGTTAAAAAAAATTAGATCACAGTATAATACTGTGATCTGTATTTTGATCACTGTAGGCAGTGATCGACTGGCAGGGAAGGGGTTAATTTTTATTTGGAGTCGCTAAAGGGGTTTTTTTTTTTATTTTTTACTTAAACGTTATTAAAGCTTTTTTAACTTAATTTTGATCTTTTTAAAGCTTATTTTAAAACTTTTTTTCTAACGTTAACCCCTAGTTAGCCTAACACCAAATCCCCCAATTCCCCACTAACTTCCACCCACCCCTGCTAACTAAATTTTTAATTTTAAAATACTTAAATTAATTAATAAAATAAATTTTAACCCCTAAGGATTAAAAAAAAAAAATTAACCCTCGGGGATTAAAAAATAAATAAATAATGAGATCATAGTAAAATGTGATCAGTTGGCAGGGAAGGGGTTAAGTTTTTGTTAAAATGGGTAAAGGGGGGTGGTATTTTAAATAAACTTGATTTTATTTTATTTTTTAACAGGGGTCAGGATCAGCACTGTTCCGGCTCCCTGCACTTCACACAGAACCAGGAAGTGCAGGGAGGTGGAAGGTAAGCATACTAAACACATGTGCTCGCTCAGACAGGCAGACCTGAGCACCATTAACCCCGCGATCGCGGCTATCTGGGGTTAATTTTACCGCGTGACGACGGACAAGGTCCGTCACTCGTCGTTAAGGGTTTCCCCTGAGTGACGGACCTCGTCTCTCACTCGTCATTAAGGGGTTAAGATTTTCTTATCCCCGTCTATGTTAATAGCTTGCTAGACCCTGCAAGAGCCTCCTGTATGTGATTAAAGTTCAATTTAGAGATCGAGATACAATTATTTAAGGTAAATTACATCTGTTTGAAAGTGAAAGCAGTTTCTTTTTTCCATGCAGGCTCTCATAGCCAGAGGAGGTGTGGCTAGGGCTGCATAAACAGAAACAAAGTGATTTAACTCCTAAATGACAGTGAATTGAGCAGTGAAATTGCAGGGGAATGATCTATACACTAAAACTGCTTTATTTAGCTAAAGTAATTTAGGTGACTATAGTGTTCCTTTAATCATGAGTGTTACAAAGAGTAGCTTTTCACTTTTCCTATAAGAGTAGCAGCAGTGATTCCAATAATAATGGGGCTCAGTTTCTGCCTGTCCAATCACTGTTTACAGGTTAAAATTGGGCCCTTGTGAGTTTGTTCCTGGTCAGCCGATTGCTGTCTGCTTTCATCATTGGTTTATAGCTCCTCCCCCTCCTCATGCTGTCGCACTCAGTGCTCTACGAAGAGTGTTCATATCTCTTTAGTGTTTGCTGAGGCTGCCTGTCTTCCCAGCACACCCGGGGTTAATCAGCAAATATCCCCCAACCTAAATGGACTCTCCATAAACATACATTTCAAAGACTGCAAAGGAAACATCCAGCTGTGTCTGCTCGACTGAGAGGTTTATGTGAGGGAGATCAGACTGTCAGTAAGTTATCTAATCCCCCCACCCTCTCTCCTGTATGTAGATGTGTCAATACTTGTGAAGTTCGGGGACCAGTAAAATAAATGACTCCCTTTAAATGTGCTCTAAAACGTCTTCACCCCTCGTCTCTTCACTGTATTCTCATGCAATAAGGGCATTTAGAAATGAAAGCACTGTTTCTCAGCAATGACGTTCACTTTTCGTTTATCATCCTATTAGCCCTCTGTCCTCCTTGGCTTTTTACTTAAAGCTTCACTTGTAGGCTTTCAGTGGCAATGCTAGCTGTGATACTGGGGATCAGAGGGCTCATAGTGACTTTAGCTGGGAGTGGGAATTAGTGTGCTGGCAATAAGGTGACAGTGGGCGGGATAAATGAAAACAAATAAACACGGCACTTTATTCACAAGCCGTGGGTTCAATAAAGACAGACTAACTGACAGCAGGAGCGTTGTACTTCATATAGAAATGGAATAAAAAAAAAAAAAACCCTGCTATACATTTTGCATATGTGGTGAGCGGTATTTTAGGGCTGACTAGTATGTTATCATTTATAGAGTGTCAGTATATTCCTTGATGTTTTAGTGTTTGCTAATATAAACAAATATTTGACACACGAAATGACGTGACTATATGCTCTCTATACGCGGCTGTTTTATACGTTCTATGTTATGAAAACTTTGTGTTCGGGTTCCGTTTGCATAAGTAAATGTTCCCATTGATGAGTTCTATTAAAATAGTGTTTAAAAATAGTTTTGGCTTGCACTCTTCATCCAAAAGGAAAGGGGTAGTGAAAATCTCATTTTCCTACGATGATCTCACTTACAGCATGATTTCAATCTTACCCGAACTCTAATTCACCTCTAAGTTGTTTAAATCAATATAGCGTCTGCTTCTATCAGGGCTGTATCCTCCGCGTTGTCTGACGTATATTGAACTCTACAAATAAATAAAATATTCAGTAGACTAATCTGCTTCTCGTCCTATAGAGTACGGAGTCATTCTCACAATAGGCAAGTGTTGCATTACGTCTTGTTGCTGAATTCAATGGCCAGGCAGACGTGCAATCCTTCGATTAACATCTGGGGGAAAGTTTCCATTCTTATAGAAAAGATAATGTTATCTCTGGTTCTAGAATACCTCCCCTGGTTTATTGACATGTGTTAGATTTAATATTATTTTTTCACGATACTTATGGTCACATGCCCTCTCTCAGGTGACTCTGGTTCCAGTTTGTTTCGATTTCCTTACATGCATATGAATTGATCTAGCAGTTTTAACCGTACAGTCTTAGAAAGTCAAGTTATTCAGGAAATATTAACTGTTTATTATTCCCTTCCAGGTCACCACTGTTTCTGTAATTATGTTGTCACGACTATTCCGCATGCACGGTCAGTTCGTGGCCTCTCATCCATGGGAGGTCATTGTCGGCACAGTGACTGTCACCATCTGTATGATGTCAATGAACATGTTTACTGGGAATGACAAGATCTGCGGTTGGAACTATGAGTGCCCCAAGTTTGAAGAGGTAAGTCTGCTTGGATAATGCTGCGTCGGGGAAGGAGAGAGCAGTGTTTACCATGTAAAATGTAAAACGTGTTTTTCTTGCGTTCATAGGACGTTCTCAGCAGTGACATAATCATCTTAACCATCACACGCTGCATTGCTATTTTGTACATCTACTTCCAATTCCAGAACCTCAGACAGCTTGGATCAAAGTACATTTTAGGTAAAGAATCATTGTTTTCCTAGGCTTTTATTAATATGTCCATAAATGTATTTTGTCTGTCTAGCTACGCTGTATGCTTGCATGTATGTGGCTGTTTATACACTGTATGTGTGTATTGTTTTGACTTTGGGTCTTGCGTGGTTTCTACTATTCTTCTCGTGCACTATAAACCAGTAATGCATTATTATTATTATAATCTGTCGTTTCTAGGCATCGCTGGTCTGTTTACCATATTCTCCAGCTTTGTATTCAGCACGGTGGTCATCCACTTTCTCGATAAAGAACTGACCGGCTTAAAGTAAGTCTAACAGATCCGAGCCCTGCGTCTGGCATTGTCTCTGTATTACCTTTTTAGCCCGCATTTTAACTGGCTTCTGTGTTTGGATTTTTCTTACAGTGAGGCTCTGCCTTTCTTTCTGCTACTGATTGATCTTTCCAAGGCCAGTGCCTTAGCCAAATTCGCTCTTAGTTCCAACTCACAGGTACGTGCGCTTCATTGAAATCTGATAATCTGCAACCTTTTCAAAATATGTTAAAGGGACACTATAATCATCAAAACAACTACAGCTTAATGTTTTGGTGAGTACAGTCTGTCCCTGCAGGCCTTTTAATGTAAACACTGCCTTTTTTTTTTTTTTTCTCAGAGAAAAGGCAGTGTTTACATTGCTCTCTAGTGGCCATCACTCCAGTCAGTGCTGCATGTTGTCTACACTCTGCATGGAGGCGCTGAATTTCCCCCATAGATATACATTGAATCAATGCATCTCTATCAGAAGATGCTGATTGGCGCAGAGCGGCATTTTGCCATGTGCGATAACTTTTCAATGCTTTCCAATGGGAAAGCATTGCATTGGCAAAGATCATAAAGTTTGATCTCCACCAAGGGGGCGGGGTATGGGAGGGGCTAGCCGTGATCGGTCCTACTCAGTATTGGGAAAAAGTGAGTAAATCTAGGGTTGGTGAGGTGGGCATGGGGAGACTAAACTGCCATTTAGACCTATAGTGTTAGGAATACACATTTGTTTTCCTGACACTAGTGTTCCTTTAAGTCCTCACTCTTTATTTCTATATTTCTGAGCTTTAATTGTGTGCTCAGTATAACCTGTGCTTAGTTTCCTTTTTAAACAGGATGCTGCTAACCCTGGGGGTTTGTAACAAATGCTAGAATTTTACAATCCAGTATCTATTTTTTTTTAACTATATTATCATCTCTAAATCATACATTGAAATGAGGACTCTCTCCCGCCTGGAATATTAGTAGAATTTAAAACCGATTCCTGCTGGGAGTTCCTGTTAGATTCTCAGATGGCGTTCCAGAATAAATGTATTCTAGTGTAGTTACCAGGATTTCTGATGACAAATGAATTGCTCTATTAATCAATCGTTTTATTTGACCTTCTTAGGATGAAGTCCGAGAAAACATTGCCCGGGGCATGGCGATTCTTGGACCTACCTTCACACTTGATGCGCTTGTTGAGTGCCTTGTGATTGGCGTGGGTACAATGTCAGGTCAGTCTAATGGATTTCAATAGAGAAGAGGATAAGTAAATAATCATAATGTGAACTATTTTTAAATGGCGGGTTTTTTTGCAGGTGTTCGTCAACTGGAAATCATGTGCTGCTTCGGTTGTATGTCCGTTCTAGCAAACTACTTTGCTTTTATGACCTTCTTCCCAGCTTGTGTTTCCTTGGTATTAGAGGTAAGATACTGTAGAGAACCTGCAGCAGGGACTGCAAATTTTGGCAATGCAGGCGTTGGTAAATTGCATTTCACATGATTCAAAGCAATCTGTTTGCAAACATGACAAATGATCATAATCATTTTATCCAATCATTTGTGCATTCTGGCTTATGATAATTGAAGTTTGAGACATATTAAAAGGCCATTTCAAGTACCATGACCATGGTGCCAGCTTTAGATATGTGCTTGTGGCGTGATCCATTAATGTCCATATTGCCTGCTAACGCATGTTAGAACAGATGTTACTAATGTAGAAATATAGGTTCCTTATTAACGATATTGACAGTGTCTGGGCCACATGCATTTGGGACCCTCAGTTTTGTGTCAAAGCCGTTTGGAAATGGCAGAGGGGGTGACACCAGGAGCATGTTGGTACTTTCACCACAAGAGTTGACTATAGTATTTGTGGTTTTTGGAGTGCCCCTTTAACGCCTTAACGCCGTTACGGCGTTCTATGCCGTCGCGGTTTTAAAGGGCTTTAAAGCCATTGCGGCGGCATAGAACGCCGTAACGGCTTAAGCCCCCAGAGGACCGGCAGTACTCACCTCCGCCGCGATCCTCTTCTGGAGGGCTGCCTGACCGCCCAGGCAGCCCTCCTCCGGTGAATGAGGCCCCCAGGCGCCATGTGATCGCTCTCAAAGAGCGATCACATGGCCCCCTATAGCTGGCTATGGATCTGTCAGGAAATATCAGACAGTCCCTCTACTGGTGGGAAACTGTAAAAAAAATAAAAAATAAACATGTTATAAAATAAATTCAATAATATATGTGTATATGTGTATATATCTATTTTATATATATATATATATATATATATATATATATATATATATATATATATATATATATATATATATATATATATATATATATATATAACCTCATACGTTGTGTATTTTAATACTAATATTAGTATATATATTAGTATTAAAATACACTTAGAATGACGTTACATGTGAAAAAGCAAAAAAATAATATTTGGCCAGTGTTTGTGACTAAGTGGCTACTAAAAAAGACTAAACATACCCCACGTTCAATACCTTGGGTTGTCTACTTTTTCAAATGGTATGCCATTATGGGGGTAATTCTCATTCCTGGGCTACCACACCATCTCAAAGGTAACATTACTAATCTGGCAAATTTCAATTTGAAAATGGAACGTTCTATATTTGACCCTGTAACTTTCCAAAACACCATAAAACCTGTTAATGGGGGGTACTGTTGTACTCGTGAGACATCGCTGATTACAAATATGGGCATTATTTCGCAGTAATACCTAACAGTATTATGACATTCACAGCTAAAATGTCAGACGTAAACACAAATTTAAAAAAAAATCTTATTTTCTCAATTTTTTTTTAATTTTATTCATAACAAATTATGTTCCATATATGAATAGTTAATGATAAATTAAAGCCCTGTTTCTCCTGAACAAAATGATATATAATAAGTATGGGTGCACTTAATGTGACAGCAGTGAATTACGGGTGAACAGACATACAGCACAAATTCCAGTTTTTGTTTTCGTTTTGTTTTGATCAGAACGTGTATTATTGACTCCGTCCTGAAGGGGTTAAATGAACTCTCCAATGGATTTTTATTTTTTAGCAATTTAGTAATTAAGTAAATATTCCCATAATGAAGAAATGCAGCAATAAGCATGCATGTTTTTTTCATTTGGGTATATCTAAAAACAGCATGCAAAAGGTGCATGTCTGCAGCCTTTGCATGCCCTATGATGCATCTGATTTTGAGTGCAAGTCTTGAGGGAGCCCAGCCAGGGAGTCTGCATGGGGCGAAAGTGGGCTACGTGAAGACAGGCAAACTTTTACTTTTAGGAACTTTTTGCTCTCTAAAGTAATTTAGTTTTTAAAGTTATTACCCTGGATAATATTTCTTTTGTTTTAGCTTTCCAGGGAGAGCCGAGAGGGCCGTCCCATTTGGCAGCTCAGCCAGATTGCTAGTGCTTTAGAAGAGGAGGAGGATAACAAGCCAAATCCTGTCACTCAAAGAGTTAAAATGATTATGGTAAGTGTTTCCTATTTTGCTCTGAACTACCCCGACCCTTCCACATTAAGTGTGTGTGTGATTGATTTGCAACAAAAAGGTAAACTGCGCTTGTCAGTAGATTTATGATATTGGGATAATGTAAAGATGCACATTAAATACACTTTAAAAAAAAAAAAAAAGTAATGCCGGGAGACTGGCCGCTTCTTCATTGGATCTCATTGTAACATTGCTGGATTGTTCTCTCCAGTCTTTAGGTTTGGTTCTTGTTCACGCTCACAGTCGGTGGATCAGTGAGCCTTCTTCTCAAAACAGCACCTCTATTGAAGATCCAAAGGTTTCCATTGGGTATGATGACAGTATGCCAAAGAGAATTGATCCCAGCATGCCACTCTGGCAGTTCTATCTCTCAAGGTAAGGGGAAATGTGGGTTGTCCATTCCACGACTTACGGAAAAGCTCTCCTTATTAGTTTTCAATGTCTCCTTTTGTTGGTTCAGTATGAAGCTGTCAAAGCTGTCCCTGACCCTGAATCGCTTAACAAAACAAAAACAAAAAAATACCTTTAATCCAGTGTACATAGACCTATAGCTCTACTTAGAAAGGCTCTGTAGAATGTATATTTAATAAACAAATAAATTACCCAGAAGGTAAAAAAAAACAAAAAACCACAGGCTAGAAAATCCATATTAATTGGCTGTATTTGTCTTTTCCTTCCCGACTGCACATGCTGTAACATACTGGGTTTTAATCCGTAGGATGCTGACCATGGACATCGAGCAGGTTATTACCCTCAGCCTTGCTCTGCTTCTTGCTGTGAAGTACATCTTTTTTGAGCAAACTGAGACAGAGTCCACTTTCTCCCTGAAAAACCCCATTACCTGTCCTGTAACCACGCAGAAGAAGCCAACAGAAAGCTGCTGTGTAAAGGAGTATGAAAGAAAAGCCCCAGTCACCCCAGTGAACGAGGTCTCCTCAAAGGAAGAAAAAGGTAACTTGATAGCAACAAAACATCAGAGAACCAGCACAACGGTTCAATAAGTAAAGCAATGTGTCTGAAAGAAAATAAAAAGCAATATAGTGTAGTATTGTCCAAATAAATGTAGAGGAGATCAGGTACTCACAAACCAAGAGCCAAACATATCCATGTGGCTCTCATGGGAACAGCACTGGGAACATTAATCAGGATGTCCCTTTCCTTCTTGGGATCTTCTGGTAGCAGATATAATAAGGAAAAAAAAATGACTGTAAACACTTACTACTTCAGTAAAGTGTTTATTAATCCAACAGGTAAAACAGGAATGGAGGAAAAAAAGAGTTACTCCAATAAAATACATAAAAACTAGCAATATGGTAAAGAGTCCAATAAGGGAGTCTCTGAAAATCCGAAACGCGTTTCGCCCCGTACCAGGGGCTTCCTCAGTCGGTAATACATGTATCCTCTTCCTTGGCGTCCTTTTATATATGTGTAGGATGGCCGGCTTCTATCTGTGGAACGCATATCCTGAAGTGGAACGCACTTCCGGCATCACTGCGCGTCACTTCTGGGTTGTGACGTCTTTCTGATGGAGACGCCGGCCTAACTTCCGGCGTAGTGACGGCCGAATAGTGATCGTCACGCTAACATGACGTCGGTCCAGTTGGAACGCACGACACGTGACGTGTGCGTTCCACTTCGGGACCTGTGGATAAAGGTTTTTAAACATATACAAATCTTATAATTAAAGTGCATTATAGCCAAAAATATACTTGTTAGAAAAAAGTACATAGATAACGATAATTTGAAAGTGCTTCCGCGTGACTAATATTAATAAATAAATGCAATGTGCTATTTAAGGTGCTAGTGCTTTCATAACATCACATTTTTTTTAAAGAGATAGTGTCTCTACAGAATTCTGTTTTATTAAATATTGACATAAATTTATTTCTAAAAATCAAAACAATTTGACTGGTGGAAAAGAGCAAAAAATTAGCAATTTATTCAGTCGGAATTCTGACTTTGTCAAGGAGTGACTTTGGGAAGTAAATGCTTTCCTCCATTGATTAATGTTTCCAAAAATACATATCTTTAAAATCTCAAATAAAAAAAACTTTTCTTCAATAAAATGAGCAGATCCTAAAATAAATGACATGTTTCAAAGTCAGAATTCAGAATGTATGGAATAAGTGTATTAAAATTATAAATAAATTTCATCTCTTCCAGCCCTATTTTTTTTTTTTTTATAAAATCTCACCCTCTCCAGTCATGTTTAACTATTTTGAGAGGGCAAAAAAACAAATGGAAGAGATGAAATTTATTTATAAATGTTATGAAAGCACTAGCACCTTAAATAGCACATTGCATTTATTTATTATTAGTCACGCGGAAGCACTTTCAAATTATCGTTATCTATGTACTTTTTTTACTAACAAGTATATTTTTGGCTATAATGCACTTTAATTATAAGATTTGTATATGTTTAAAAACATTTTTCCACAGGTCCCGAAGTGGAATGCACACGTCACGCGTCGTGCGTTCCAACCGGACCGACGTCATGTTAGCGCGACGTTCACTATTCGGACGTCACTACGCCGGTGTTTCCATCAGAAAGACGTCACAACCCGGAAGTGACGCGCAGTGATGCTGGAAGTGCGTTCCACTTCGGGATATGCGTTCCACAGATAGAAGCCGGCCATCCTACACATATATAAAAGGACGCCAAGGAAGAGGATACATTTATTACCGACTGAGGAAGCCCCTGGTACGGGGCGAAACGCGTTTCGGATTTTCAGAGACTCCCTTATTGGACTCTTTACCATATTGCTAGTTTTTTCCTCCATTCCTGTTTTACCTTTTGTATTAATAAACACTTTACTGAAGTAGTAAGTGTTTACAGTCATTTTTTTCCTCATTATATCTGCTACCAGAAGATCCCAAGAAGGAAAAGGACATTCTAAGTAATGGTCCCAGTGCTGTTCCCATGAGAGCCACATGGATATGTTTGGCTCTTGGTTCATTTGCCTACAATACTACACTATATTGCTTTTTATTTTCTTTTAGATATCTCTAGGAGTGTGATCCACCATCTGTATGTATTGCTTTTGTGTTTATATTTGAGTGGTATAAGGGGTTTCCCACTCAGGTGACATATCACACTCATATTGTCTTCACTGTATATATTGCACTTTCTTTATTAAAGCAATATGTCTGCCTGAAGCCATTCACTGTAAATATTCTCCTTCCAGAGGCCGTAATCAAGCCCCTACCACTGGAGCAATCTCCCATGACTAGCTTTGTGGTTGGAGATTCCTCGTCGTTGGAGTCGTCCTCTGATGAAGATGGAGAGAAAATAGAGTTACCAGAGCAACCTCGTCCAGTTGATGAATGTGTTTGCATACTTAAGAATCCAGATGTAAGAGAAAAGGCTTTCATATATACATAGATTAGAGGGTTGTGTATAAGAACAGATGGACTATCTATGTTGGTGAAAGTCCAAACACAATGTAAAACAGACATGGGCCATCTGTACTGTAGGCATGCATTATTTTGTAAAATAAATACAATACTAATGTTTTACTACAGTGATAATTCAATGTGAATTTCAAATACTAGGCCAAAGTAGCCATAGCCAAACTAGAAGGATAGCTGACTTTGATATTTTTTTTTTTTTTTTAGTTAAGCTATTTTGCCCTTAAATTTGAAATTCACTTGAGTGAATAACCCTGTACATTTCAGCGGGGTGAGTGAGTTAAGTTCATAGTAGCGTTTGCAGTAATGAAGCATCCCGCCTGTTGCAGATTTTACTGTTGATTAAAGGTTCAGTGATGACTTACAGGGCAAACTTTATCTCAAAGTAATTATATCCAGGCTTCAGTTCCTCAGAGCCCTCTCATCCACCCTTCCTCTCAGCCACTGCAGTGATGAACAAGGTTTGCCTTGGGTGCTACTGAGCCAAAGATTAATCTTGCACTGGAGATAACGTTTGCATGCTTGAGTACCCCCCGGAGTGTTCCATTTAATTTAAATGTGTTTGATGTAATGTCACCTATGGGGACATATTATGGCACTGGCCTGGTCTGCATCTCACTGCTGTCAGATTCCTGCATTAAGAGAATGTAAAAAACTTTTTATTGAGATCTTTGTATTTTAGCAAATCTAAATACAGTTAGAACTCAGGATCTGATTAGTGGCCATGATAGAACATAAATTAATGATGAGCATCCTTCTTTTATGGAGGGCCTATACCCTGGAGCAATAAATAAAAAAAATCTCCAATAACCATTGCGTATGGAGTACATTGGTATTACTGTTCTCATTGTGACATTATGAGATAATCAGAGCGTTAAATTAAGCATTACTCTCTCTGAACTGCAGTTTAACCCTAGCTTTATAATTGCCAAATGGCTCACAAGCTGTCTGGGAACTGGGTGTAGGAGAGCATTTCTACCTCTGTACCCCATTCCACCTGGATTTGTCTTTGGTCTTTCTACGTAGCAATGGATTGCTGATACGCTCCCAGAACATTTTACTAGTTTTACAGAGCCTTTTATTGCAGGGCTATTCAGTATTTCCAGTCTTTCACTTTGTACAATTCACTAAAAGCTTGCGGTATTTATATATTTTTACCAGTGTTTGTCAAATATTTGGTTTGTTTGCTTTGCTGTTACTTCACAATATTATTATTTCCTCTAATATTTACTTAGTTGCCATAACCTGTGAAAGTAAGGGGCTTAATGACACTTTCCCCCTCTTTACTTTATAGCAAGGAGCTCGATTCCTAAGTGATGCTGAAGTGATCAGACTTGTAAATGCAAAACACATCCCTTCCTACAAACTGGAAACCATGATGGAGAGCCCTGAGCGGGGAGTGGCCATTCGCAGAAAAATGCTCTCAGGCAAACTGCCCCAGTCATCAGCCATCCAAAACCTTCCTTACAAGAACTACAACTATTCTTTAGTGAGTTAGTGTGGGGTATGAGAGAGGCAATGTGGTGTATGCAGGGGACTTTAATCAAATGGCATTTACACAGTACCAGAAAAGGACATGTCTCACGTTACTTACACACAAAATGGTAGCCAGCGCTAGAAAAATTATCTATTTGGTCACTTAGAATGAATATATATGTTATTTTTTATTTTATTTTCAAGCAACATATATTTTTTCAATAACACGTTTTAGGGGGTAGGGCGGATTGAGACATGTTTGAATTTACTTCTTTTCGATGCCTAAACTCTGTCATCACTCTCTCTAGGTCATGGGCGCTTGTTGCGAGAATGTCATTGGGTACATGCCCATCCCTGTAGGTGTAGCTGGTCCTCTTCTTCTAAACAATAAGGAGTTCCAGGTACCCATGGCAACAACAGAAGGATGTCTTGTGGCCAGCACCAACCGGGGCTGCAGAGCCATAATGGTGAGATTAATTCTAATTTATAGATTCATTGGTGTAGTGGCAACTTCCTGTATTTCGAAAAACCTGCCTTCCACAACAGACTGCAGATTGAAACTGCCAATAATAGTAGCTTCCCTTACTGATCCTGTAATGCACGTTGGCCAGAGACATTTTCAAGTTGATTTTTGTAAACTGTTCACTGAGCTTAATTATCTTAATTTGCCATTTCAGCTGGGAGGTGGTGCACACAGCCGAGTGCTGGCTGATGGGATGACACGTGGGCCAGTGGTCAGGTTGCCAAGTGCTTGCGATGCTGCTGAAGTGAAGACCTGGTTAGACAGCGCAGAAGGATTTAAAGTTATGAAAGACGCCTTTGACAGTACCAGCCGGTAAACATTACTTGCCTGTTATTGGCTCATTTTGTAGATTGGGAGATCCAAAGGCTGATGTGTAAAGTGGCGAGCACTAAATAGATCTGATTTTTGTTAGGTTTGCTCGGCTTGGAAGACTTCAGACCAGTGTTGCTGGAAAAAATCTGTACATCAGGTTTCAGTCAAAAACTGGAGACGCCATGGGAATGAACATGATCTCTAAGGTAAGTGGAGATCTCCTTCCAAAATGTTACATTTAAAATCTTCTATTGGCTCACTAACCTCTCTCGTTGTATTAGCCAACGGCACAATCCATACAATAAACTGCAACTACCAGCACTGTAACACTTGTTGTAATCTGCTTTCCATGTGAAATTGTCATAGTTGCATGTCCTGTATTAATGGCTGTGATGTTACAGGGCACCGAGAAGGCACTTTCCAGGCTGCAAGAAGAGTTTCCTGAGCTACACGTGTTAGCTGTGAGTGGAAACTATTGTACAGACAAGAAGCCAGCTGCTATCAACTGGATCGAAGGGAGAGGAAAGTCAGTGGTGTGTGAAGCAATCATTCCAGCCAAAGTAGTGCGTGAGGTAAATAAAGGTTGAAAGTTCTGCTTTCCCAACCCTCATTTATAAAATCAGCCTCTGTTATAAACCCATAAAGGCTCTCTGGGTAAGTCATTTATGTGATAATTGTCAGGCATTCAAAGTAAATTTCAGCTTTGGAAACCACTGTAATACAAAACAGGAGGTTGGGAGCTTGTTCTAGCTGCTGCCCTAACGGCTAATATTTGGCACTTTAGAAAGCTATGCCGTTGCCTGTTATTCTCAGCTTCTTGACACGTTTTTAGACATGTGTTTTAAGCCTGTTTGAGAAAGGTGTTTGCATGTGCCTGCAGTGTTTGCGGTTTTTGTCTGTTAATGAAACGTGATCTGAATTTCTCCAGGTGCTGAAAACCTCCACAGAAGCTCTGGTGGAAGTGAATATAAATAAGAATCTGGTGGGCTCTGCCATGGCCGGCAGCATCGGAGGTTTTAACGCACATGCAGCTAACATAGTGACTGCTATTTATATTGCCTGCGGACAGGTCAGTAGACATAATGCATGGACTATATTTTGTGTACATGCCTGATGTATTCCATTACGATACTTCGACATTATGTAAAATTCTCTGCATTTGGTTTTATGGCATGTGTTCGTCTATAAATATCATAGTTTCAGAATTCATGTTATCAGATGGTTACAAACGCTGCATAGCGTAGTTTTGTGCCGTAACTTGGTGTTTGATTCCTCAGGACGCTGCACAGAACGTGGGAAGCTCCAGCTGCATCACACTGATGGAACACACGGGTCCGATGCATGACGATCTGTACATCAGCTGCACAATGCCGTCCATTGAAATCGGCACTGTAGGAGGCGGGACCACCCTGGCCCCACAGCAAGCATGCTTAAAGGTATTCTACATCCACTAATAATCCAAGCACCGTGGGTATGGTTATAGAGGAGTGCAATTTGTCCACACAAGCACGGGATGATCAGAGACACATTTCTGATGTAATACAAGCCTAGTAACGCCCTAATTAGATCTTTTGATTGTTCATATTCTGATATGGTCAAATCAAGGTTTTGCATATTTGATCACATTGGCTCCATTTCAAAATAACTGCATAGGATCAATTAATGCCACTGGCAAGCACTGATTGAAAACAAATTTGAGCATTAGATGTATTTGAAGCAAGGAATGCATAGCTCGTACATCAACATATAACAAAACAACCACTTTGAGTGTAGATAATTAATAGACAAACTAAAATATATAAAAATACGTAAATTTACAAAAAAATTTTTTTTTTTTAAATCTTCCAGTATTTCCTGGGCAGCATGTACAAACAGATACACACTTTAAAAAGGGACATTACATATTTTAAATCTTAATCACTGGGGCTGAAGTTTGATTTAAAGGGAATAGGTTTTTAGGGATTTTAGAGTAGTGACAGATTTAATATTTACTGGGAACTTATTCCATTCTTGTGATACTCTCTGTGCGGAGGTGTTAGACCTTCTCTCCTATGAAATGTAAAATGCTGACAGTTTGTTTTTTAATGTTTCATCAAGATGGTTTCTGCTGTTAGGGAGAATTATGCAACATAATGTGGAGAACAATGGAACATTATTGATATTTTACATGTTTGCTTTGTACACAGATGTTGGGTGTCCAAGGTGCAAGTATAGAACGACCAGGCGAGAACGCGTGTCAGCTTGCGCAGATTGTCTGTGCGACCGTAATGGCGGGAGAACTATCTCTAATGTCTGCCCTGGCAGCTGGACATCTAGTAAAGAGCCACATGGTGCACAACAGGTGAGACACCCATCCATGGGTTTATAAAGCATTTACTTTATTACTGTTAAAGTGTGAATTATCAGTAGACCAAAGAGAATTTCACATTTTAGACCAGATCTGCTCAATTGGGGGAGAACAGAAATCTCCAAATCAACTTTATTTTCTGTTACGTTCGTTTGGCCTAAAACGTGTAGTTCCCTTTAACTCCCTGACAACGCACAGTGCAGTGAATAACTCTGGAAGCATTTACATGTCTTCGAGTTAATATTCCTAAAATTGCCGTACTATACAACCGAATACAGTGTCTGTAAAACACCAACACTCCCTCGCTCCCCCAAATAATCGTATTCTTTAATTTCTCACTTTTTAAAGTGCACCTTCAGTACTTTAATATAATTCCATGTACAGTCGGTACTCTCATAGGTTTCCATATACAATCGATACTCTCGTAGATTTCCACTTACTATCGGTATTCTCATACAATTCCACTTACTATTGGTACTCTCGTAGATTTCCACTCACAATTGATACTTTCATATATTTCAGGTCGAAAATAAACCTCCAGGACCTCCGAGGAACTTGCACAAAGAAAGCAGCCTGATTTTTATTTCATTTTGTTGGATGGGTTTTTATTGAAAAATCCTTGAAGGACAATCCTGTCCTAAAGAAAAAGATGAATAACGGAAATGGTTAACTAGAATAAAGGTGCTTTTACTACAAATATAATGGATGGGGATACGGGCTGCTGACTCAGCACAACCTGAACCCAGTGGGAACTTGCCAGCAAAGAGGCCTCCCATGTGTGTCCACTTGTTCGTTTTTCTTTCTTACAAGGGTCCATTAAATTTTTGTTGGCAAACCAATGTTTTGCTGGCAGTATAAATATTGTCCTTTAAAATTGCACATCTGTATATTTATGCTATTTATGTAAGTCTTGTAATGGGCTGCAGTCCCGTCACGGTTGTTAAGCTACTCTGGAGATTACTTTATTTAAAAAAAAAAAAAAAAGTTTTATTTTGTTAAGAATTGTTATATACCTCAAATTTTAGGGACATTTTAATGTATTTCTTATTGTTGGCTTTTAAAAGAAATGCTTAAGGTGCCAAACGGTGCCCCCCCTGATGATTATGGACTAAAAGTCCCATAATTGATGAAATGCAGTTGTCGTCCATAGGACATCTGTTGGCCAGTTTGACAGCCCTGAATTAAAAGTATAGTTTGATTTAATTGCAAGATTAAGTATCTCGAATCTATCCAATCTATATACGGTGCATTGTGGTTAAATGTGTGTCTTACTGGGGAGTTAAGTTCAGTACATTTCCTAAATATTTAAAGGCCAGATATCTTGATGTGCTATGGTTTTTTTTTTTTTTTTGTTACGTATTTCTCCCCAAATAATCCCAGTTCTTTTATTCATTTCAACATCTGCCACACAGGCTGTCCATAATTAAAATACCAAAACTGACAGCCAAGGTATTTCTTTACACAATGTTTAAATACAAAACACCAGGCCTGGATCACTTTTTGTGCATTTGGTAAGACTTGACGTCGTCATAAATAAAGCATCTATTTCCGTTTTATTTATCCGTTGGTCTTTATTGGGGGGAAGAAGAGATTCCATTCTTGTAATATATTGCTACCTATACTATAGTATGTTATGATAAAACATTTTGAAGGACAAGGGAATGTTCTTAAAAGGATTTAAATAAATGTACTTATTTTTCTAAGATTGCAGTTTCTTTTTGCTGCCTGTTATTGTTTTGTGAAATTATTTTTTTTTTTTTGTGATATGTATTTTTTTTATAGTTAAAGTATGTGTACAAATACACTAGGATTGTACCTGTAAAATGGCAACATTCTAGGTTTCTGCTTAAAGAAACACTCAAAACTAAAAAAATTTACATTAGCATGTTTTTTTTAAAATAATAAAAAGTAAGAATTGCTAAAAAACAACATACATGTAGTTCAGAGCAGGGACATTCAATTTCCTGTCTGCAGTTGGTCTTCCTCGGATGAAAGTCATCCGTTCTGGTGGCTTGTCTATTCAAATCCTTCTAGAGAAGCATTGGGGACGTAGGGTGCGTGGCCAGCAGCTGCCAAGTTTCACTAATTCAGTAATTTCACATGGAGAATCATTGGTTACAGTGTGTAATGTTGTCAAATGTGAAGCCTTTAAAAAAACTGAAGGTTGTAAGTAGGAAGTGTCTACTACTGGCTGACTAATCAGGATGGAAATGTTTGTCACCAAAACCACTAGATTAAAACATAGTGGTTTTCGTGCTTTGAGATATTTCAGGCAAAGATATTACAAAATCTTTAAAAAGAGACTCACGTGTGAAGCCCCTGCTGCACTTAGCCAGGAAGTGGCTATAAAGCCATCACATTTAAAAAAAACAAAACAAAAAAAAAAACCCTTCCTTACACAACATGATTTTACAGGAGATGGAGTTCAAAAACCTGAATTAAACTGCAATTCAAGCTAATAGAAACCATGGCCCAGTAACTGCCAGCTTCTCTCCCCTTGCTAAATATTAAAGTACAAGGCAGCCTGCTCAATAATCAAACTTCTTGTGCAAAGGCCTATTCCTCAAATGTAGGATATCTACACCTTTCAACTTGTGAGGATTGTTATGGAAATGTTTCTATAATGAATCCTAAAAGGCACACTTTAGACACCAAAACAACTTTAGCTTAATGAAGCAGTTTTAGTGTATAGATCATGCCCCTGAAGTTTCACTACTCCATGTTCACCATTTAGGAGTTAAGTCACTTTTTCTGTCTATGCAGCCCTAGCCACACACCCCCTGGCTGTGATTAACAGCCTGCATGAAAACAAAAATGGTTTCACTTTCAGTCAGATGTAACATACTTTACATTTTATCTCCTGCTCTGTAATTGCATACAGGAGGCTCCTGCAGGTTCTAAATCTAAAACAGAATTTGCATGAAAGGAAGTATAAATATTAGACTCTTTACAGGAAGTGTTAAAGACTGTTAACACATGCAGAGAGGTGTGCCTAGGGGTGTATAAACAAAGGGATTTATCGCCTAAATGGCAGAGAATTGAGCAGGGAGACTGCAGAACTGCTTTATTGAGAGGGTGGGGTTCTGAGAGGCAAGTGGCAAAGGAGATCAGAGAACACAATCAGTGTATACATTAAAAGGGATAACCTTTAATGAAAAAGACTTGGCAACAATTATAGATAACTAGGCAACAGTGAGCAGTGAGTGCTGTCATGTATAAAACTGGATATTGATTCACGTGATCAAATAACATTTTGCCTCTTCTATAAATCAATGGTAAGACCACACCTTGAATACGCGGTGCAATTTTGGGCACCAGTTTTACAGAAGGATATTGCAGAACTAGGAAATAGTGCAGAGGTGAGCTACAAAATTAGTAAGGGGGATAGTAAACATTAGTTATGACGAACTTCGGAAGAAAAAAAAGAGTTTGAAACCAAATACAGAAGTCTAATGAGAAATGAATTGCACAGATAATGGCCCCATCTGCACAGTGGGGGATTCTAAAACATCCAAAATATATACATCTATCCATTATCAGTACATTATACCTTACACTGCTGCCTGTAATGTAGTGAATTGGAGAGGCAACATCATCTGGTCACTCCTGGTTAACAGGGAGATCCACGTTGGTTTTATATTTATTTTTTTGAAACTGTTGATTCGGTCAGGCAGCGAACCTTCCTTTGGAATCTGTCAAGGTTATCCACCAAACTTCCAGATGGTGAAATCTGATTCATCGTTCCAGAGAATGCGTTTCCAATGGTGGCAAGGTTAATTCCAGCAAAGGTTTGGTCAATGGCCTATCACAGCTAATAATGTACAAACATTTGCAGCAAAGTTAGCTAAAGCAAAAAAGGTAAAGAAATGAACATACCCAGGGGTGGACTGACCACTCGGGCAGATCGGTCATGGACCAGGAGACCCCCCAGGGGCGGACTGACTACTTGGGCAGATCGGTCATGGACCAGGGGCCCAGTTGCATGCACCTTTCTGAAGTGGAGCTCAGAGATCTCCCCAGTCAGAAGGAAGGTTGCAGGGACCCAGGATGACACAGAGGGCTCCTACTCCGTGTAAGACCTGGCAGCATAAAACCTGCAGCTAGTGCATCACACCTCCTGCTCCCCTCTCACAGGGAGCACTCACAGCATGGATGGAGGGTGCAGATAAGCAGGCTAGGGGTGAAAAGGGTAGAAACATGTGGGATGAAGGGTGAGATAGGGCAGATGCACACAGGGGTTTGTGTAGAGATGTGGGACATCTCAGGGGTTTGTTTTGTTTTCTTTTAATTGGTTTTACTTTCTTAATTTGTTTTTGTCTATTTTTTTGTGATGTTTGTCTTTATCATTAATTGGGAACTCATAATGAGTTTTCCACTTATAGGGGATTTTTAAAAATGTATTATTAGTTTAACTAAGGTGTCATTTCCATTTTTAGAGTAAAAAAACAACAACAAAAAAACTTCCAGCATATAAATCTACCTCATTACACACATGCTGACACTGCTTTCAGATACACACTTCTCTCTCTCTCTCCCCCCACCCACCATGTAAACACCACGCTGCACTAATCAGCATCTCCTCGTAGAGTTGCATTGAATGAATGAAATTCTATGGGAAGTGTTTAAGTCTAAATGCAGAGCGTGGAGACGTTGAACATCAATGCCTCCCACTAAAGGTGTTCCTAGGCAGTAATGTTAACACTGCTGTTTCTCTGAAAAGGCACAGCCTTCAAGGATTGGCTGTGGACACATTAAGCTGCAGTTGTCCGGTGACTATAATGTCCCTTTTAATACTTAATATTTGGTCTTTGAAGGGCCCAGGATATAATTTTGTTTGGGGGCCCAGAAGGCTGTCAGTCCGTTCCTGAACACCCCCTTTAAATATACAACCGTTAACAAGCCATGCTCGCATAAAATGGCAAACACCGAGAAATGTATCACCTACATTTAATAGAGCTGCTCTGCCAAGCGAGCACCATTCGGTGTCCTGGTTAATCAGTTTCACATACAAATTCTATTCAAAATGTAATATTCCCATCAGTGTTCAGTTTGTCGACTATCAATGTTATTTAAATACAATTTTGGAGATTTAGTCGACTAAAATGGCTTTTTATTCAAAAGACTATGACTAAAACTAAATTGAAATTTGCAGCCAAAATTAACACGGATTCCCATTCAGGGAGGTTCCCGGATTGCAACAGACAAATTTGGCTAATAAATTGCCTAGCTTTCTGTAAGTGAATTTATTGACATATCAGCTATTTTGAAGTTAAAAGCGCAAGGATTAACCCTGTTGCAGCCAGCAGTCACTGTAAAAAAATCTGAATAAATAAATAAAAATGATATATATTAGGGCGTCATTTACTAGCGTGAATACACAATCCTCTCTAATGACTCCACTCGCCATGCTGTGTTTGTGGGCATATCTACTGAACGGTGAGCTGCAGGTGGTTATCCACCCATTAATACCCCATCCCTGGGCTGTCGAATGTGGTATTAGAATATGGCAGAAACTGTCTCTTGCCCAGCAGTGAAGAGGTTAAAGAAATAAGCAAGTGGGCAGTTTTTTTAATTGAAAAGAGCCAGTAAATGGAAACGGCAGACATCGGACTCTCTTCGCACTGTCCCCTGCCTTCGAGTGGGCGACATAGTAAAAATGGTTGTGGACATGCCACTCACCTGACCCCACCCAAGGGCAGCAGCTGGGGGTAGATCATTAATAAGAGGGGGCAATAAATCTCAAATATCTGTAAAATTATTTCCTGCCTTCCATAAGTCTCTCTTAAAATCTTTTTAATGGGTGATAATGGTAATGGGTGGGGGTTGGGGTATGTCCCCCCTCTGCTCCCCACACCCCAAACCATGAGTGAGAGGTGGGGGCTGGGGATGGGACAATAGCAGGTCCCCCTCCTGTATTTTGAGCATTTGCCTTTTAGCCGTTTGTAGCCCCCGGACAGTATTTTGGCTCAATATTAAATCTTGCGAACAATATCTGTATTTTGCAGTCTGAATGCCCCCGAATGGATCCTGAGGATTTCTGGAAATGTAGACATTCATTATCAGTTTAATGAATAAATCTGTGTAAGTGTATAAACAACTAACGGCCTGCCATTCTCTCTGTGAAAGCTCTTTGTTCCAGTCTCCAATCGGACACAGTCAGTATGTTCTTTCAGATGTCACACAGTTAATTTATAGTCACAGCATGTTCTGGGCAGACATGATGTCAGTGCAAGCCATTGGCTCTCGAAGTTCTGGTGACTGGAATCAGGGATAGTCAGAGGAAGAGCCGGCCCATTCTGTACATACATTGGGCGGCTAAATACACTGTATCTTCACAAACACACAACACATACAGTAACCCTGTGACCCCAATGTCAGGGTAACTACATAACGTCTCAGGGTCGACTCACCTATATCCTATGGGAGCAAAGCTAACTCGGACACCCAGGGTGGTTGTGAGCTAAATTTCCTGGATGCTCAGCAATCCATGACTGACGTGATCAGATCCTCAAACTGATCATCTTCTTAGTTCCATTCTTGGAATCCCTGAACAAGGGCGTCAATTAGTTCTGACATGTTATTGGCCAGTGTATAAACCGGCCGTTTGTTTTATTTTATTGAACTGTTAGAGAGGCTTTTAACTTCTTTTGGAGTCTGAAAAATAACTAACAAAATAAAAAATATATATAAAATAAAAAAATGTCTGTTCTGCACTTGCCTACAAAAATGCTTTGGGTATTGTTTTGTTGTAAAATGAGTAGATTTGGTTTTTTAGTCCATGGCCGACCAGCTGGCGCTGTCCTGTTGTAGTTATAGTGTGAGTTT